TGAGTGACAGTACGTATCAACCAACGGGTCACATCATACCCTTAGAAACCTGAGCCCGATGTGGGAAACTTCTCGAGCGGCTCCATCATAAATTGGGCCAAAGGGTTTTTCGTCCGCGGAATTTGAATGGGGAGCACCCGCTCGCGTACATAACTCCTTCACGAATATGGGTATGTCTTGCAATAAGTGAACCCCGAAAGTGCGGTGTTTCCTTTTGATGCCCCTTCAAAACCACCCACAAAAAGACGCATGGTCAAACCAAAAAAAGGGACACACCCTGCCTGGTGCTTTTGTTTGGTCCCGACCCGGGCTCCCCCACGAAGCCCTTCTCCAGGAGCAGCTCTGGGATCTGCCGCGCCAGGCCCTGCGGAGGCAACCCCTCGGAGCCGTGAAACCACCCCTTAGAAGGTCCCTGGCTTCTTACCCAAATGGTTTCTTAAGATAAGGACACCCACTTTTGGGGAAGGTTTTTGAGTGGAGAGGTTAGACTAAGTTGGTACCCGATGTTATTTATTTTTTTCGGTGGTCTATTTTAGGGGAACCCTCCCAACCAAAAAAGGGGTGAGAAAGGGCACTACTGGGGGACCTAGTCTCTTCTTGGATGTCCGTGGTGGTTCGCCACCACTAAGGCACTAAGGCACCCCGGGGGATTTTGATGGAGGGGTTGTAACGTGGGCTACCAACGACTCACTAACTTAGCCGAACACCAAGCAGATACACCATAAAGGCGGAAAACGACCCTGAGGGGGGGGGTAGGCTGTCAAATGATAACTTGAAAAGTCAGGACGGGGCCTGAGGTTCCGAGGCTCCGGATGTCTCCAAATGGGTGACCTGGGTTCCTGGATATTCGCATTTTGGTCACTTCCCCAGAGCGTGGGTTTCCTGCTTAGGACATTAGGATTTTGGAGTTGAAGCATGGGTTCCCACAAGCCTCCGCCTCCAAAACTAGGTCCTCCAGTAGAGAGGATAGAATAAGGGCACCCTTCTTTTTGTAGTCTATTTTAGTAAGGAAACCCTCCCCCAAAAGGGCACCTAGCTGGGGGACCTAGAAAACCTACGTAAGACATCGCAGCTGCGCTCGCGAACCGTCGATTCTGCGGCCGCCCCGTGGCGGGACCTGCCTCAGCACAAGAACTGGGGCCCAGTACCAGGTCGTAGCCCTGCAGATCCTCTGCCGCCAAGAGCCTTCCGAAACGAAAGGCTCAGGTTCAGAGTCCTCGGATCCTCAGACCCTCGGACCAAACCCTCAAACCCTCTGACCCGGAAACCCTCAGACCCTAAGGAAACCAGAACAAAAAAGTTAGCCAACCTGCATAAGTTGCAGGTTGGCCGACTGTTTATTTCAGTCCCCGCATGTTTTTTGGCCTTGATGTTTTTCTGGACCATTTGGGTGGATGTGAGGAGCCTGAGATTCTCTGCGCGTGGAGCCCTGGAAAATCGTCCAACTCTGGCATTTGTTGAGAATGCCGTATGCCCCCAAGCTTGGTAATCATCAACAGCACGCGATGCAACACTCTGGCTCTTGCACTCAAATGGAAAACAAAAATGAAGGCTCTCATATCCACGGACCCTGGCCGTGTTGCACCCAAAGGGACAAAGATCATGATCAAAACGAACCTCTCAAACTCGGAGTTGTTTTCCACGCGGCACTGAAGAATGATGAATGTGTGCTGGAGATGAAACAAACACTGCTCTTGCTGCTTTGACATGAATTTGGGCTTGGCGAAAGACCAATCCGGCGCATTCAGCCTGCTTCATGCATGTGTCGCGCAATGTGTTTGTCTTTTTGCGAAGGGTAGCCCTGTTTTGCGCACGGCACGGCCGCGCAGACTGTTTCGGAGGTGCAAATCGCGTGGCAGGCGCAGTACTTTGGCAGCCTGAGGTGCAGATTTCGTTGCAGGCGCAACACTTTCGCAAGGTGGAGTCTTCCTATAGGCACATGTCCTTTCTAGAAACTTCCGCCCTCCTGCTCTGCTGGAGTATACCTGGTATTGTAAAGGCTACATGTCACTTGCAGCGGCTTGCCTTCTCTTGTCGTGGCACAAAACCCTTGCACCCGTCGCGGTGAACAACAACTGGGCATGAAATTTAACTGGGGACTCTTTGGCGGACATTGATTGATGTCCTCTCCAAAACCCTTTTGGAGCATCCCAAAGCATTCGAATTCATAGCAACGTCGCAAGAGTTCAGACCAACGCACGCGTCCTCTCTCCACCTCGCCTGCAGCTCGCCATGGGCAGCTGAAGGAAGTGGCCCCTCAAAGTGGCCACCTGGGCTTGCGAGGCGTCCAAAATGGGGGGGGGTTCTTCTTTTAGGGGACCCCCGAAATGGTGGTTTTCCTTAAGGTGTCCCTTGACATCTCCCACAAAAAGGGGTACCCTGAAAAACAGACGCATGACAAATTCAGCAAGCAGGTGATGCCGTTTG